AAAATTAAAAAAAATTAATTTGTAATTTTCTTAACTAGTAACTGTAGCAGTTTTCTAGAAGTTAGTAAAGAGTATAGTCTTCTTGATGAATGTTGAATAGAACAGCTTTTCTTCCTGCAAACTGATGAGGAATTTAGTTTATGATTTCTCTTCAGTATGGCTATAGATACTGCTTTTCCAAATAGATAGGCTCAAGAGGTTGAGAAAGAAGTGTTATTGCTGATAATCTACAGATTTATGTAAAGAGCAAATCTATTGAATAAATCTTTGGGTAAACTTTGAGCATTCCCATTAGAAAATGTAGTACTAATATGTTTTTAAAATTGCTGAATAACTTCTCTTGATTTTTCTTTCTTTTTTTTTTAATGGTAGAATTCTGGTACAGCTCAAGTTTTCAGCTTAGTAGCAGAGCGCAGAAAGAAATTTCAGGAGATCATCAATCGCAGTAGCAGTGAAGCAAATCAGGTGGTTCGTCCCAAAACATCAAATAAATGGTCTGCTCCTGGTTCAGCTCCACAGTTAACTACAGCCATTTTGGAAATTAAAGAAAGCATATTGTCTTTGCTAATTAAACTTCACCACAAACTCTCAGGAAAACAAAATTCTTACTATCCTCCTTGGCTTGATGACATGGAAATTTTAATCCAACCAGAAATTCCTAAATATAGTCATGGAGATGGTATAACTGCAGTAGAAAGAATTTTACTAAAAGCTGCATTGCAAAGCAGAATGAACAAACGCATCATTGAAGAGATATGTAGAAAAGTGACCCCTCCTGTACCACCCAAAAAAATTACTGCAGCAGAGAAGAAAACACTGGACAAAGAAGAAAGGTAATTTTTATTTTTAATGTTTTAAACGTGTGGTACAGTTGAAGATGTGATCTTTTCTCCCTTTTGGTCATTAAAGCTGATCATATGGATATTTAGTAGCAACAGTCCTAGGTGATTTATTAGTTTGTAAGATAAATGGAATGGAGCATAGTCAGTGCTTATGCATGTAAAATGCTGAATTCATTGGGGGAGAGAAGATGAGAGTTTCTGACTCCAACCTTAAATTACTACGTTTGAGGCATGGTGGCATGCTAATGCTATTATTCTTTAGGGATCTAATAATTCTCTTGCTCTTTTCGAAAACTATTATCAATTCAATTTTAAATGAGAACAGAAGAAATTTTTAAATATTTCTGAAAATAAAAATCCAACTGCGTTAGTTCCTTTTGGTTTTTTCTAATCTTTGTCAATATATGATTGCTATTCATTTACAAATTCATGTTTTTAAACACATTCTAACTTACGTCTCTAGTTTTTGGACCTTTAGGTTACTTTTAATTTGTTGTTAAATTATAATATTTATAAACCTTTTTTTCCTCGTCTTTTGACTTTCATTCTTGGGATGATGTTTTTTTATCCCAAGATAAATGATGTTTATGATGTTGAGTGGGACTTGTGGGTCAAGGGCTATGAACATGATATGGTTCTTAGCACACTTGGCTTGCCGGAGAGTTGTATTACTGTGCATTGTCACCATCTGCTTCCCAACAGCCTTGTCAGTATTGCCTACACTGCTGCCATAAACATGACAGGGTAAACTTGAAAGGTTGAAACTCAGCATAACTGTCAAAGTGTTTATTAAAAAACAGTATACCTTCTAATGGATACACATAGAACTAAAAGACCCAGGACATTTCAAAAAGATTTCAGAATTTCAGTTGTTAAACTCGGGATCAGCTTGATGTAGGAGATGAGGGACAAGTCATGAATGGTTCCCAGATTTCTGACTTGGATAATGCTCCTTTTACCAAGATAAGGGAGTATGGAAGGGGACTGAGGCTTAGTGGTAAAATTGATATGTTCAGTTCTGTACATTACTGAGTTTAAGGAGGGCATCCAGGTGAAGAAGTGTAGTCAGATGTAGAGTTTGAGTCTTAGGGGAGAATTCTTAGAGCTACAGATTTGAGCATATAGCTAATAGTGGATGCTTTATATTTGGGAGAGTATGTATAGTATGAAGATGAGAAGAATGAATATAGAACTCAAGGAAAAAACATTAAAGGGAATGGTTGAGGAAGGAGTACCTACAGAAGTGACTGAAAAGGGATGGCTAGAGTGGAGTAGAAGAAAATGGGGGTGAGTGGCTTTAGAGAAGGCATAAGAAGAGGAAGTTCAAAAGGAAGAAACTTATCAAAATTCTTAAGTACTGCATTAGTTCAGATAAGACTGGCTGTCCTATTTGATTTGTTTGGTAACTGTATCAAGGACAATTTTAGTCACATATGTAGTTGTACTTCATCTCTGATATAATTAAAAGTTTTTTACAGAAAATTTATATTAGAAGTATACACAAAGGCCTATAGTAAATTAAGAATTTAGGAGCATTCCTATTTTTTCTCATAGAAATTTACAAATAGGAGTTATAAAGAACTAACATGATTTATTTATTAATTATTTTTTAGAGACAGAGTCTCACTCCATCAGCCAGGCTGGAGTGCCATGGCTCGATCATAGCTCACTGCAGCATCAGACTCCTGGGCTCAAGTGATCCTCTTGCCTTAGACTCCCAAATAGCTAGGACTACAGGTGTGTGCTATGGCACCTGGCTGAGTTTTAAATTTTTTGTAGATACCAAATCTCACTATGTTGCCCAGACTTGTCTGAAACTCCTGGTCTCAATTTTGCCATGACCTCCCAAAGTGCTGGAATTATAGGCATGAGCCATAGTACCCAGCCAGAACTAACATGTAATTTAGATGATAGTTCATTAAATTTGAATTAGTAACAGCCTAAAATTTAGTAAATCTACTCTGATAAAAATAGAAAGTTGAAAATGAGATAAGATTTTTATTTTTGTTAACCTCTTCTAAATTAGTTATCTTTCCTTCTGGTTATGTAATAGTGCATCCTTTCTTTCTGGTCCCCCCCCCCAAAAACACAGTGTATGCTTTTTTTTTTTTATTAAGGAAGATATTCAGTGAATCAAAGTCTATTTTGTTTCGTTAAGGGTATTCTGTAATTATTACTACTAATAAATGTGATCCTAGAGGACGTAGTTCAGATGCTGGGTTTTTTTTTTGTTTTTTTGTTTTTCTTTGAGACAGAGTCTTACTCTGTTACCCAGGCTAGAGTGCCATGGCATCAGCCTAGCTCACAGCAACCTCAAACTCCTGGGCTCAAGCAATCTTCCGGCCTCAGCCTCCCGAGTAGCTGGGACTGTAGACATGTGCCACCACAGATGGCTAATTTTCTCTATTTTTAGTATAGATGGCGTTTCACTTTTGCTCAGGCTGGTCTCGAACTCCTGAGCTCAAGAGGTCCTCCCGCCTCGGCCTCCCAGAGTGCTAGGATTACAGGCATGAGCCACCGCGCCTGGCCTCAGATGCTGTTTTTTTTTTTTTTTTTTTTTGAGACAGAGTGTCACTCTTTTTGCCTGGGCTAGAGTGCCGTGACGTCAGCCTAGCTCACAGCAACCTCAAACTCCTGGGCTCAAGCGATCCTTCTGCCTCAGCCTCCTGAGTAGCTGGGACTACAGACATGTGCCACCACAGATGGCTAATTTTCTCTATTTTTAGTATAGATGGCGTTTCACTTTTGCTCAGGCTGGTCTCGAACTCGTGAGGTCAAACAATCCGCCAGCGTTGGCCTCCCAGAGCGCTAGGATGACAGGCATGAGCCACCACACCCGGCCTCAGATGCTGTTTTTAGGGGAGGGGAAAAAAGATCCTAATGCTCTTGTAATAAATAATATTCTAAAAATTTTAAAAGCTTTCTTTGTGATAGATTCTTTTGGCAGTGATAGTACTGACAAGCACTTGAAACTAATTTTGTAGCAGACGGCTAAGGATTAAGATGAATCTATTTGAATCTCACTGTGCTTCTCACATTTGTCTTTTCTCTGGGTTGGATTTTGGATTAAATTTCATAATAAAGGCAGAACAGTTCATAAACACTTAATGAGGATCCATTTTCAGGTACCTCATCTATAGACAAACTTGGCATCACTTTCATAATAGATTATTTTCCTAGAAAACAAGATACAAATAAGAAACCTTAGGTGGTTGTAATAATATGCAACTTCAGTGTCTTCACCTCTGGGGCAGTAATGGAAAATTTCTGAATTGTCCTGAATCTGCCAGAACTTGTTTATGCCTTTTCTTAATGGTCTTTATCCAATTTTAGAAAAGGAATAATCTAGATTAAGAAAAAATTCACGATGACATTCCATTTCTGGTTGTCATAGACAGCTGCTGTAGAAGTACATTTTAATACTAGTGTCAAGCAGTTACATTTGAGGTTTTCTTATGTTCGATATGTGGATTTGTTATTTAAAAAAAATCTAACATGAAAAACATTAGATGTTTAGATATTTGTCGTATTCTTAAGAACATATTTATTCTAGATATAAATATACGTATTTAAAAATGAGCTGGAGTGTGGCATTAATTAAAGAAGCTTATCAAAACTAATAAATTTACAAAAAAGTGTTACAGGAGACCAAACTTGTATTCCAGCAGTCCCCAACCTTTTTTGGCACCAGGGACTGGTTTCATGGAAGACAATTTTTCCATGGACCCGTGGTGGGGGGATGTTTCAGGATGATTCAAAGGCATCACATTTATTGTGCAGTCAAATCTCTCTGCTAATGATAATCTGTATTTGCAGCCTCTCCCCAGCGCTAGCATCACTGCCTCACCTCCACCTGAGATCATCAGGCATTAGATTCTTAAAGGGAGTGTGCAACTTAGATCCCTCACATGTATGGTTTATGGTAGGGTTCATGCTCCAATGAGAATCTAATGCTTCCACTGATCTGATAGGAGGTGGAGCTTAGGTGGTGATGTGGGCTGTAAATACAGATGAAACTTCCCTCTCTAGCTTGCCACTCAGCTCCTGCTGTGTGGCCCAGTTCCTAACAGGCCACAGACTCATAGCGGTCTGCAGTCAGGGAGTTGGAGACTGCAGATGTATTCTGTCCATGCTGTTGTTGCTCATAGCATTTTTGGAGGTCTCTTAGAATGCTTTGAGCTTCTGTAGCACATTTTTGTTTTGTTTCCATTTCTTCCATGTGGCAAATATTTGTTCTTTGAGGATAGATTTAATTTTTAAAAACGTTTTATTTTGAAACAATCTTTTTTTTTTTTTTTAGAGACAGTCTTGCTCTGTCGCTCCAGCTAGAGTACAGTGGCATCATCATAGCTCGCTGCAACTTAAAACTGCTAGGCTCAAGCGATCCTCCTGCCTTAGCCTCCCAAGTAGCTGGGACTATGGGACCATGCCACTGCGCCTGGCTAATTTTTCTATTTTTAGTGGAGACAGGGTCTTGCTCTTACTCAGGCTGGTCTCAAACTCCTGAACTCGAGCAATCCTCCTTCCTGGGCCTCCCAGAGTGCTAGGATTATAGGTGTGAAGCAATCTTAAACTTACAGAAGTATTTCAAGGACAGTGCAAAGAACTTCTCAAACCATTTCAGAGTAAGTTGCTGATATGATGCCCCTTCACCCTGAAAAGCTTTAGTGTGTATTTCCTAGAAATAAGGGCCTTTTCTAACCTAGCGTCAGTGCAACTATCAAAATTAGGAAATTAACATTATATTTGAGTATGATTAAATCCTTAGACCCCAAGTTTTGACAGTTGTCTCAATAATGTTTCTTGTAGCAAAAAGATCCAATTCGTAATCACTCATTGCATTTAATTATGCTCTTTGGTCTCCTTCAGTATGGAATAGTTTCCTCAGTCTTTCCTTTATTTTCATGATCTTGACACTTTTGAAGATTATGAGGACAGTAAGTAATAACATTGCAGGATGTCCCTCAATTTGGGTTGTCTGCTGTCTCTTTATGTTTAGATTCAGGTCATGCATCTTTGGCAGGAATATCAATGAAGTGTTGCTGTTTTCTTTTCTGTGCATCCCATAAGATTTCAATTTGTTTCATCACTGATGGTTAACTTTGGTCACTTGATTAGGAGAGTATCTGGCAGACTTCTTCACTGTCAAGTTACATTTTTCCCCCTTCATAATTAATACACAATTTGTGGAAAAACACTTTGAGATACTGTAATATTCCAATCCTATTAACTTTGAATAGATTCAGTTATTTTTATCAGTATGGACTCCTGGGTTCCTATTTTATCTGATATGGTTGTTATTCATTTTGATGCTCATATTTTTCCAGATTTGGCCACTAGGCATCCCTTCAAGCTGGTTTCTGTGTCCTTTTCATCTATCCTCATCCTTTTTGGAAAATATTTTTATTTTCTGGGGCCATAAGATGTTCCAAGGTCGTCTTGTACTTGGAGTCAGCCATTTCTCCAAGTCTTGGTTGCTTTTAGTAGAGAATTGTATTTAGAAAGTATAGTCCATGTGCTTAGTCTACTGAAGCATAGCCATTTTCAGGCCTTCTTAGTGGACAGAGCTAGGGAAAATTGTGTGTGTGTGTGTATCTTTGCATGTCTGTGTTTGTGTTGGAGGATGTGGAGAGGGGAGGGAGGGAGAAATTTATGTTTACTTTTATGTCTATATGTACTGAAAACTATGAGAGTTCATCCTGATACTTCCAATTCCAATCTGACACCTTAGGAACCATTCTTGTTTTCTGTCTTTCCATGTTTGTAACTCTCTACTCCCATAGTGAGAAACCTAGCATCCATAATCCCCCGTCTCTCTCTCTCTTTCTCTCTCTCTCTCTCTCTCTCTCTCTCTCTCTCTCTCTCTCTCTCTATATATATATATATATATATATATAATTTTTGATCACTTCTCTTACATGTAATAAATGTCTTGAAATCTTCTACCACACAGATGCCCTCATATGCCGGGCTGTTGGATACTGACATTTTGTGCTAGGTGTTGCCATCCTTCATGTTCAGGAAGGGAAGAGAGGAGAGTAGATTTAATTTTTTGAAATGGCCAGTGTCATTCAGAGTTACGTTTGATGAATAAAGTGAATCATCAACCTGGATAATAGTATTTTGGCTCAAAAACAATATAAAAGAATTTTTGTTATAAAACAAAGCAAGTTTTCTCATGTGGACCCTAAATTATCTTAAAGTGTTGAAAAACGAACATTAGATGTCTTTTGAACATTATGGGCTAAAATATGTAATTTCTCATGGTAAGGTGGACCATAAAACTTGACGTTATAGTTGTTCCTGATTATCCCCACTAATTTGATGGGAGCAGGTATATGAGTAGTTTAAAAATTACTGTTAGCATTCCATTCTTCTAAATTCGATGTGCTCTATCCTTGAATCATTTCAGATTAATAGATAAATACTTTTAGGTTTTTCCTATAGAAATGATTGTGTAGATTCTTAGTTTAACATAATGTTATGACTTTTATAATGTATAGATATAATAATAGTCATTAAAAGCAACTGCTATAGTGTATTCTGTCTGTTATGTTTTCATATCCTTTGTCCATGGGCTGTGATCACTTCCTCTATGAGTTTTATTCAAGTAAAACATTTGTCTCTCTCAATGAGCTAATATATAACTTACCTCTTAACCTTTTACTTTTCTTCTTCCTCTCTCTCCTCTCTTGTTTAAATTACTATTTTAACCTTCCCTTAGGGGGAGTAAAATTTTATGCTCGCTAGTATTGTTAGCATTGCATAATCTGGGGAAGCCTATCCTCTTTATTAGTTTGCTTTTATTCTTATTCTTATGTATGGTACTGTTGTATTGGCAGATTTTTTTTTTTTTTTTTGCAACCAGTCTCAAATTAAAATATTCTTTGGAAGTAGATAGGGATAAATAATAAATAGAAAGTAGTGAATTAATCCAAAGGAATATTTATGCTTAGATTGGGAATATAGTTTTATTCTTTATGTTGTGTTTGAGTCTCTTCAGAGTCTTTCATTTCATACAAAATAAACCAAACTTGAACTATCTCCTAGTAGAAACTGGGAAACTTACTGCCTTTTGCTCATTCTGTAATAGGAGAGACCTATTTTTAGGGTAATGATAAATCTAACTGTTCTTGTCTTTTAGATTTTGTTTATATCTAAATGTCATAGTTTTTTCTAGCAACCAATTTACTATTAAATGGGGGAGTAAACTGTTAGTTCCATACTAAAAAAAGACTCTTACTATTGCTACCATCTGAAATATATACTTAGGAAATTGTGTTGTTGGAAATCCAGATTTTCTATCTACCTCAATTATTATTTCACATTTAAAGTAAATCTCATCTTTTATTTTTATCTGTTGGATCTGTGAATTTGAAACCTGTATATTTTCTTTTTTTTGGAGACAGAGTCTTGTTCTGTTGCCCTGGCTTTGGGGGGCGGCATCATCATAGCTCACTGCAACCTCAAACTCCTGGGTTCAAACGATCCTCCTGCCTCAGCCTCCTGAGTAGCTGGGACTATAGGCATGCGCCACCATGGCTGGCTTATTTTTGTATTTTTTGTAGAGATGGGGTCTTGCTCTTGCTCAGGCTGGTTTCAAACTCCTGAGCTCAAGCTATCCTCCCACCTTGGTCTCCCAGAGTGCTAGGATTACAGGTGTGAGCTACCACGCCCGGCCTGAATTTGAAACCTTTTTAAAGCAGTAGAATTCTTTAAAGGACAATCAAATCTTACATGAAATTTAATGTACAATACAGAAAACAGATTGTTCTCAACTGTATGCCAGGGGCTTTTCATACATTACATACTCCTGAAGATAGTATTAATAGATAAGCCTTAAGCACATCTGGTACTAGTAACTTTATTTCTGTTTAATCTAGGCGACAAAAGGCTAGAGAGAGACAGCAGAAATTGCTTGCAGAGTTTGCTTCACGGCAGAAAAGCTTCATGGAAACTGCAATGGATGTTGGTAAGTCAAAATTTATTAGTTTAGAATTAGGGATGATCTTGTCCAATAATCCACCAGTTTTAAACATTACAGACAGATGATTTCTAGTCTTTAGTCTTTATTTAAACAATAGAGTGATGGAAAATCAGACCTTCATTATAGACAGTCCATTCTGTTGTTGAGTAGCTGCAATTGTTAGGAAGTTCTTCCTGATGGTAGCAATACAGTATGTTCCCTCTATTCTCTTCTGTTAAACTATTTCTTATATTTGTGAGGTTCATCAATATACCTTTACTTATTTTGATCTTTTCCTGTGAAATGATCCCAAGATCTTTAAAATAGTTTTCAAATGTTTTTAGTGCCACCTCTTTCTGCCATCCCCTTCAGTATTTCTTAAAATCAGATATATTTCTCACTTCTCATAAGATTAGCATTAGGATTTATGCAGTGAAAGGAGATGTTCCTGTATCATGGTAGATTGCTATGAGTAACCTTTTATACACATTGGAGAAATAAATTAAATCTCAATCTCAGTTAACTAGGATATTTCCTTCCCTATTTCTTTCATTCCAGCAATTTTTTTTCCTTTTGTTTTTCTTTTAGACAAAATTGCTGAAAGAAAATAAAGTCATACATTTAGTTAAAGTACATACAAATATGTGCATTATGTGCATTCCAGTGTTCATGTACATTCTCATACATTTTGTGTACATAAAGACATATAGTCAGTGTCCAGAAGAAGTGCAGAGAGGTGATCGGTCCAAATTTACCCTAATGTGTTCTAAACCATCAAGAGTGTAGTTTGTGTTCAGGATATAACTTTGGTGGAAAGAATATGGGTTGAGCATCCCTAATCTGAAAATATGAAATCTTAAATGCTTCAAAACCTGAAACTTTTTGATTACTGATATAATGTCTCAAGTGGAAAATTCCACACCTAACCTCATGTGATAGGCTACTGTCAAAATGCAGTCGAGGCTAGGTGGAGTGGCTCATGTCTGTAATCCCAGCACTTTGGGAGGCTGAGATAGGACGATTGCTTGAGGTCAGGAGTTTGAGGCCAGCCTAGGTCACATAGTAAGATCCCAGTCTACAAAAAATTAAAAAAAAAAAAAAATTAGCTGGTCATGGTGGTAAGTGCCTGTAGTCCCAGCTAAGGGAGGCTAAGGTGAGAGGATTGCTTGAGCCCAGGAATATTAGGCTGCAGTGAGCTATGATTGCACCATTATACTTCTGCCTGGGTAACAGAGCGAGACCCTATTTCTATAAGTTGTGTATGAAACATAAATGAATTTTGTGTTTGGACTTGGGTCCCATCCCCAAGGTATCTCATTATGTATATGTAAATATTCCAAAATCAGAAAAAATCTGAAATTCAAAACACTCCTGGTCCTAAGCATTTCAGATAAGGGATATTCAACCTATATTTAAATTCTCTTTATGGAATTTACTTAGCATCAGTTTACTTTCTCATATGAAAGATGAGGGTTTAGTTCATTGACACTACTTTTCGTTTCTGTATCTCTTCTTCTTTCCAAAAATTGATAAGTCTATTTTTGTGTATTATATATTTAATATAATTATAATATCTATTTATTGATCTAGCTACAGTAGTCAATATCTTGATACTTCTTCTTATAAAATGAACTAATAATCACCTCAACCCTTCCTTTCATTTTTCCTTTCCTCTTCTCTGCCCCTGCCTTTTATTACCCACTTGTTTACTTTTTAATTGTCAAGCTATTGGCCAGGTCGGTGGCTCACGCCTGTAATCCTAGCACTCTGGGAGGCCAAGGCAGGAGGATCGTTTGCGCTCAGGAGTTCAAGACCAGCTTGAGCAAGAGCGAGACTCCCGTCTTAAAAAATAAATAGATAGATAGATAGATAGTCAAGGTGCTGGCATTTTATTTTTCAGTCATAATAATGTCTTTTATCCAAAGGTTGACTCTTAAAAACAATTAAGAGTATTTGTATTGTATGACTTTTTGAATGTTGTTGAGCACAGGGCTAAGTAATGTGCTAGGATCCATTTACTTTTGGTGAATCCTGTGGCCTGACTCCTGGACCCCTTTAAGGAGACTGTCTTTAGTACATGACTTTGTTTTTTACAGTCCCTTGATTGCTAAAAGCCATACTACCTTTTATTTGTTTCTATTTGGGCCATGACTGTTATATTGCCTTTTGTTTTCCCTGAAGTTTCAGTCTTTTTTATTTTTTATTTTATTTTAAAAATTGTATTGTGATGAGAACTAATGGGCCTTTATATGATATCTCTTTTATTCTACCCACTTCATCATACTGTCTGTTGCATGGAATTCTTTTCCAGTTTGGTTCATTTGCTCTCTAGGCATGCTGCACAGCTATTACCTCAGGATTTTCCCCTTGTATGTAGGGTTGATGTATGTATGTTGATGTAGGGGTTTCCTGCATCTTATGTTATCTCTTTTTTTTGTGTGTTGTTTTACTGGAATGCAATCTCGAGTATATTCTTAATTATGCTTGTTTGAAGGCTAAACTGCATGATTCTTTATAAATCTGGAAGGGACATTTAGTCTGTCTACTCTCATGCTTGATTATTCATTTAAATGGATATAGAATTCCAGGTTGATAAACATTTTCTGTCACAATTGAAGGCATTGCTGTGTTATCTTTTGCCATTCATTTGATGAGAAGTCTGATGGTAATCTTAGCAGGTGAGCATTTTTTTCCTTTTCCCTTTCCTGTGACACTGCTATGATTTTTTTTTTTTTTTTTTTTTTGAAACAGAGTCTTGCTCTGTTGCCCGGGCTAGAGTGCCGTGGTGTCAGCCCAGCTCACAGCAACCTCAAACTCCTGGGCTCAAGCAGTCCTCCTGCCTCAGCCTCCCAAGTAGCTGGGACTACAGGCATGTGCCACTGTGCCCGGCTAATTTTTTCTATATGGATTTTTAGTTGTCTGGCTAATTTCTTTCTATTTTTTAGTAGAGACAGGGTCTTGCTCTTGCTCAGGCTGGTCTCGAACTCCTGACCTCGAGCGATACTCCTGCCTTGGCCTCCCAGAGCTCTAGGATTATAGGTGTGAGCCACCGTGCCCGGTCTAAATACAAGCCTTTAATTTGGTCCTAGATCTTTTTTAAATCTTTACTAAAATATCAAAATTGGGTATGGGAGTGATAGAATCAATCATATATTACCAGTAATATATTTTAATTCATTATAGGATATAAATTCATTATAGGATATAAAGCAATGGCTTTCCTCTTTTTTAAAGAAATAAACCATGATCTTTTTAATTTCTTGAAGGAAAAAAAAAGAGTATTAGTGTCTGTAATTAGTAAAGTCAGAATTCCAATAAAATTACTTTGCATGAAAAAGAGGTCATCTATTTTATTTTCATGCCTTTAGCTTAACACTGTATCACCATTGAAAATTGTTAAGCCCCTTTCTTTTAAAAACTCTAGAAAAGGTGACTTAGCAGCCTCTTTGATAAATGCATTTTGATATCAGGGTTTCCTTGAGGTTTTCAAATTGATCGTACCAAGACTTATTAAAAAAAGAAAACTGTCTTTGTGGGTGAAGATAGGGTTAATGAAATTCTATTTCTTTGGCACTTAACATGAGACTGAGTTATTTCATTATACTTTCAGTCAGATATTTCTCTGTTCTCCTTTGAACTTTAGAGCAGACACACACATCCTGTCTTTTCTGTACTGAGTTTCCTCCCTAAAATTTAAAGTAATCTTTCCCACGTCAACCCTTATTGGCCTCTGGTGCTTTCTTCTTTTCATTTTGACCTACTATTCTTATTTTCATAGACATTGTACTTTCTGGTTCTGATTCTATTCATGTATAGTTGGTTGTTTTTTTTGCTAATTTCTTTGTTGGCTTATTTTTATTTCCATTAATACTAGACATTCAAAGTTCTGTTTTAGGTTCCTGCCCATTTTCCTCTCAGTCACTCTTAATAAATATTCGACATATGTTTATCTTTATGAATTCCTTTTTAAAAATATCTTAACTTGACACCTTTCTTTTTCTATATCTGACATATATTTTTACATATTTACTATTTACTTAGCTATGCTTTTAAAGATCTCATAAAGCACTTCTGCTTCCCTGGTCTTCTCAGTCCCCTCTACTCATTTCTCTGCCACCATGAGCAGCATCACTGATCTTCATGAATTTAAGGGTTTTTATCTGCAAATCATTATTGATTCAATATTTTATTTCTTGCTGTTCATGACATTATATGACCAGAGGATTAATGTTATTTTCTATACTAGTTATGCTTTATTAATATATAATATGATCATTTCTGCATGATTTCCTTGCATAAATAAACATTGTTAACTATTATTTCTGAAATGTAATTACTAGAATTGGAAATAAGGAAGACATAGTTTTTTCCCCTTTTATCTTCTAGTGAATACTACTATTTCCCCCCCAAAGCTTTCATGCCATGGTAAATTTCTCCTCTCAAGTGCCTCAAAGAAAATTAAAACAAACAACCTCCCCTCTTTTCTTAAAATGTTACTTTAAAAAATTTTCTTTTTTGATACAAATGTCTTTGCTTTTGTATTTTTGGTATCAATTTTATATGTGAACGACACAATATTGTAAGTGTATTATTTATATTATATATATAATATATAATTTAATGTCTTTCATTATATAAAGTTGTTGCATGTTTTATCTAACTTTGAGTAAACATTTTACTGAGTTAGGTAATTTTTTCCATAGTTTTATTACTATATACTTTATTAATATCGAAGCTGAAAATTATTTGAACTTGTTGCTTTTTCCCTACATTTTTACTGAAGAGAGATTTTTCTCTGTGGGAATTAAGAGATGGAACTTTTTCCCCTCAGATTCTCCTGAGAGCGATATTCCTATGGAAATCACCACAGCAGAACCACAAGTTTCTGAGGCAGTATATGACTGTGTTATTTGTGGACAGAGTGGCCCCTCTTCTGAAGACCGACCTACAGGATTGGTTGTACTGTTACAAGCATCCTCAGGTAAAATAAAGTAATTTTTCCATTGGAACATTTTTGAGCCAAATTATATGCAACAGATTAATAAGCATTTGTATTAAATGAAAGTTATATCTTTGTCTAGTTATAACTGTAAATCTTTATAGCAAGGATTGATTTAGATACAAATACCAAAGATTCTTTATCTGGTTTTATCTCGCTTTTCTGGAGATGAGTGTTGGAAGAAGCCCTTAACAGAGAGATCTCACTATATGTTACATGGTTACTCAGTTTTTTCTTTAAAGTATGACGGTTTATCACCATTGCTAGGTGGCCAATAACTGAGTTCATTCTTGGTAATTTAATTGTTCTAAAATCTGTAAGCTTCTTAAGCCCATAAGTATTGTCAGTTTAAATATTTTAATTACATAGGTATATTCAGGCATCTCTACCCTTATTTCTTTATATATATATTTTTTAAAAGTCTTTATCTTGTATACCCTTATGTCTAGAGCTATTGGAAGCAATAATTCTTGAAACAGCCTGTGGATTGATATGTTTGCCAATTTATAGTTTAGAAAATATTTTAAAATTTTGAAGCATTTGTCTGAATGCTGTCCATCCTCTCCCATACTGTATTTTGAGGTAGTGATAACTCTTACACGATCTAGTCCCAATGAATTTAATCTATTTTCAACAGGAGTATGTGTGAAGCAGAGAGAAAGTAAATTCTTACATATTTCTTGAGAGGATTGTTTTTAAGGATATTAAATCTATAAATCAGTATGGTAAGGTGGAAAATGTTGGATATTCCCACATATCCAACTCCCCTGAGATCAAATATAGTATTGCTTGACTTAGTATGGCCAAATTTGTTGCCTTCTTTTAAATATAGAGATAATATTGACTTAAGAGGATTGTGTTGAGTAATATATTGGTGTAATATAACCAAAAAGAATCTAATATGGCACCTAGTAAATCAGTTTCTTTTGTTACTCTTCTTGCCTAAAAATGAAATGGAGCTAGGACACCCTGATTGAGTGGGACATTGGAGTAGAGTGTCAAAATCAGAAATGCTTACTAAAAAGGAAATGTGTGGGAGTATTGACTACAGCTACTTTTTTTTCCTTCTATTCTTAGAGAAATGTATTAGATTATTGCCACTTGGCTTTTGATTTCTTCACCAAATACTATATAATATTCAACTTATTTTATTCATTAATTTATATCACAAATATTCATTGAGCACCTAGATACCAGGCACTGTTCTAGTAAGAAATCACATAAAACAAAATCCCTACTGTAATGAAACTTGTGTTCTTGTTGTTTTAAGCTTTTATTTGTTCATTATTTTATATTTAAAAGTTTCTGTGATTTGTTACTTCATTTAATCCCTTTTCAACAATTTTGTACACTAGCTAAACCAATTAATACTAGATAATTTCACTATACTATAGTTGTCTTATCCTTTAGGGATAGGAAAAAAAAGAATAAGAAACTAATATTAAAGAATATTAAATACAGAAAGGGTAGTAGAAGATGGCTGAAATTTTTTAATAAAAAAAAAAAAGTAGGCCAGGTGCAGTGGCTCACGCCTATAATCCTAGCTCTCTGGGAGGCCGAGGCGGG